GCCCGCCGAACGTCTCAGCGAAAGTAGCCTGTCACGATTGTGAGAGCAATGGATGACAATGATGGTTCAGTTTTCAATTTAGTCCTTAATCAACCTTTTACACCCCATGATCAGTATCCACATTCTCCTTACCCTTCTCAATACATTTTCTTTGGTACTGAGAAGGAGAATTTGTTGAACAATCAAAGTTTTTTAGTTTGGTGATCATTTCCTTCACTCTCATGTTTTTAATGAATGGTTCAGTAGTATTACTGTAAGGAGAAATTAGATACTGGTCACTCTTAGGGTTTAAAGGGTTAAGAGTGAGCAGCCACCAAGTTCTCCTTGCATCATCACCACTGAATCAAACATTAATCCTTTCACTCATAAAATCTCTTTTATTAGTAATTCTTTTTACTGTCTGTCATACAATTCCTTTTTTGTTTTCTTATTTTCCTGCTTGCCTTTGGAGTAAGCAGTAAAGTTGACATAGGTTTTTGGAGATTCATGAGATATTAAGTCACCAGAATTTACTCAGTCTCCATGGCAGCTCATTTGACATCTTGAAAAGGGTAGCTTTCTGGAATGTAAACCTTGATCAGGGCATGAACTTCAATGGATGTGGTTCTAATTATTTACTTTTTTATTAGTCTAATTGTTAGTCAATAAAACAATGATATGTACCTTAGCTTATTCTACCCGCAGTTTTGGAATGTTATTATTTTTCTCTTTTTCTTGTTTTTCAATCTCCTTGACCTGTTTTTACTTTTCCTTTTTTCCAGATGGATGAGACATAGGACCATATTGATTGTTGCTAAAGTCTAAATGACATAGTCTTGTAATATTGTACAACTAGCAAGAAAATGTTGACAGATTGTAACTGTAAACTGTACAGATAGGAAACAGCAGCAAGAATATGATTATATGAAAAAAAATATTTGATTGTAGGTATATCATAGCTTAATTTACAGAATAACAGAAGATTCCATGTTTATGAGTGTCTTGGCAGAAATAAAGAACAATAAGGAAAAACTTGAGGCAAGAATAATTTGTAAGTGTTGCACATTGTACCTTTGATACAAAGTTATAAATTATTGCCCATATAGTAAAAATCTTTTTAGTGGCCTGCACAGGAGGTGCGCTTTTAAACTGGTGTTAGAGGTAAACTTATCCTTGCTTGAGCCAGAAGTCACATCACTGATACAGAAGTCATAGATATGGCTGTTTTTCTCTGTTTAACCTTTTAACTCTCAAGATCTGCTTTAGAATTCTCCCATTTAGCTGCAACACATTTCCTTGTGACTTAGTTACAAGAATTAGGTGTTAGATCAAGATAACTGCTTCTATCCCATAACTTAGTATTTTCATCACATAGCTGTGTACTGGATAATGTAGATATTGCATAGGGAGAAGTTACATGTTAATCACTACTTCTGGGCATTTAAGGGTTAACATTTTACATGCATTCTCACCAGGCAACAGCTTTGTTAGCTGATTATTCTTAAGATTTACAAAGGGAAATATTTTAATCCTAATTTATTGTGATTCCCTCAAATACAAAACTAAGTTAAATTTTCAGATTAACAGTGCAAAGTTCTGTTAATCCTTTTGTTCCCAAGATCTCAAGTTTCTTTTTGTGACAAACATCACACGCTCATTTAAAAGTCAGTCTTTAGAATTTAATGTACTAACAGGAAATTTTATTGTGCACAAAAATTAGAGTTTTTTTTTTCAGAATTATAGATTATAAATGAACTTTTTTTACTTTAGATTTAGAGTGGTTGATTTAACACTTCAACTCTAGCTTTGATTATCATTTTCTTATCTTTTTATTGGAAAATGTATTTCTCAAGGTGCTTCTTTGCACCTTTGGAGTGTGAAGAACTGAAATGATAAACACAAGCTAACAAAGTCACTTCAAACAGTGGAATAGTCCTAAGTTTTTTTTTATTATTGTGACCACCTCCATTTTCTCAGATAAATTCCCCAATTTTTTTTTAATGCACTTTGTGCTGTGAGGCTGAATGACAGTGATGGTATTAAATAGGCAGTATATTTACTCCATAAATACCTGGCTCTAATTGTTGGATAACGCTATCCAATGGATAAATTCCCTTCTCCCTCAAAAAAAAATAACAGGTGAACAAAAGAAAATTAAGTTACTACGTAATTGATGCAAGATCTTTGTGCAAGTTTCAGTATAAAGCTGTGAGACTTCCAGATTGACTACAAAAATAGCACTTAAACCTTCTTTGCACTGAACATCAAATTCAATGTCCACATAGATTAGATGTTAAACAAGATAATTCATTATGGCTCAGTTTTCCAAGACGCATGTGTAAATTGGGTCTTCCTCAAATTGATCAGTTTACATGACCTTTATCCTCAAGTTGACAAAAGTAAACTTAAAGATAACAAATCTCCTCTCCAAAATTTCACTGCCCTCCCTCATAATGTGATAATTTGTTATTATAAAAGTACAATGCCACAAAATAAATATCTAGTCCTCCAGTAGCTATAGAATTTGTAAGATATGACCATGAAACAGCTCAATATTGCCAGTATGGACTAAAACCACCTAGTGGAATTATCCATCATAATTTCTTTGCTTACAAGAATTGGTTCACTGCCCTCCCTCATGGTGTAATAATTTGTTATTACAAAAGTACAATGCCACAAAATAAATATGAAGTCCTCCAGTAGCTGGAGAATTTGTAAGATGTGACCATGAAACAGCTCAATATTGCCACTACCAACTAAAACCTCTTAGTGGAATTGTTTATCATAATTTCTTTGCTTACAAGAATTGATTCTAAATTGTTATATGATAATCTTAATCAGACACATGATTCTCACTCATGATCCATTGGAAGACACACGCATAGATGATGTCACCATCAACAGCATTTTACTGTTTTATCATGTTGCTGTACGTCTGTATACTAATAGATTGCAGAAAACATCAAAATACATTAAGAACATTATATTCTCTGTACTGTTCTCTATACATTTCCTAAGGTGCTGACAGGGATAGTTAGCTTAATGATTAAAGTTCTCCCCTAACTTGTGTGCTATGCATATAATTTAAAAGTTCAGGTTGTCATTTTTTCAGTTTTGCTGCAAATTGATATTAAATACTTTATTGTTGGTAATGGGAGCGAATTTAGACTCGATACCTGCTAAATCTCAAAAGAAAGCGTTCCAATTGATAACTTAAAAGTTAACCCTACACATTAAATTAGATTCATTGTTTGTCAGTCTAATGACATGCAAACTGATGAGAATCTTATCACACATTGCATACTGCTCAATTAAATTACACCTTTCTTTTTTCCAACATCAATAAAAGCTTCAACACAGCGATCAATCTCCTCTGTGCTGTGCGCAGCAGAGATCTGAACCCGAATCCTTGCTTGACCTAGGTATAATAAAAATGTAGAACAAAAATGTTATTTATAAACAATAAAAGTTAAAACCAGCTTGACCAAAGTCATTTTTTGTGTTGTTTTAAATACATGAAGTGAGCCCATGAGGACAAGCAAGTAAGGTGACAGTTCCTGTGGAGTTTCGACCCAAAAAAATCCTTCCGCCTGACTTGTTTTAACTTTTTATTTTGCCCCCATCCTGGACAATGATTTCAGAACAGGCTAAGATTGAATCGTTTTGATCCTTCAGGCCAAGGAAAATCATGGAAAGGAAATAATTATTAGACACCATCCACACCCCATTCAGTTCTCAGTCCACTGAATAAGTGGGGGTCCGCTCCAGCTTTCATATATTGTGCAGGCTAACTCAAATGATAAAATTAATAAGTGGTTCAAACTTTGCACTTAATGGTAGCTTAAAGCAAACTATTTAATAAATTGAAAATAAAAAACATTTGATAGATGATTATCAATTCAGGTGAGATTAAAACATTAATTTTGTCAGGAACGGCAGTCCTATTGGACAGCGAGGTAGAAAATTTTGCAACATTCAACTTCAGGCTGCCTTACCTTTGGGAACAACTGGAAATGTAAAACCTATCACATAGATACCACGATCTATAAAAATAAAAAATAGAAAATCAAACAGTAAGTTTAATCAAGGTTATTCATTATATCAATATTTTAATTTACCAATAATTAATACCTGCCACAGATGGAACATTAGGTTAGGCCATCTGTGGAGACAAAAAATACTCACCTAACATTTCATCAGCAAACTCTACAGCCAGCCGTGCATCTCCCAACATGACAGGAGTTATTGGATGACCATCCCCCTGTGACAGATAGATAAAACATCATGAGAAGGAGAAAACTAGTCATTACATTTTGTCTATATTTACCAGTAATGACAGTCTGTCTGCTTAACAGCATATGATTCTGTGGAGAATTTTGAAGATGATCATTCCTGAAAATAAAGGGGCTTATAACCACAAATTACATTCTGAAAACTTATTAACTCAAATGAATTCTCCTTGTCAGCACCTTGGGAAGTGTACAGAGAACAGTATGGAGAATAAGCAAACTGATGTTAGGGTGTAAACAGCTGGCCTGGAAATGCGTAAATTTGTAAACAAAGAGAGTCCGTTTTTACTCTGAACTACCCAGATTAGAAGTCAAAATCTCTCCAGCCAAATACGTATCTAAATAAAATCAAAGTTAATGTACTAGAATCAAGCACATACCAACTGATGAAGAGCATACTTACAATTATGTGAAACCCTGCTGCCGTCATTTTCGTTCGGAATAACTTAGTGTTTTCAGCCACTTTTTTGATCAAGTCAGATCCATTCATTAACAGATCAAACACCTGGAAATAGTATTTATTTACTACTCAGTGATATATCATAATTTACTTTAAAATGTCAATAGGAATTGTGTTGGTCTGCCATACAGTAGCCCTTGGTGTTTCAACAATATAAAACTTCCACTTAATTTACACCACAACTTTTAATAATATAATTATACACAATTTCAAAAATTTACAAACACAAAAATATTATGAGACCTATGGCCATAAAACATGGCATCACTGATAACTACTATACCACTAAAAGACAGGGAGGGACTGCACCACATGTTAATGAGTTCTTAAGGAAAACAAATTCAATCACAGAAAAAGAAAAAAAA